CCCCGGCCGGCCCCCCGCCGCTGACCCGGGGGTCCCCAGCGCCGCCGCCGGCAGAGCACCGACCGCGGCCGGCTGTGAGGAAAAGGCGCTTCTCCCCCGGCATGCGGGGCCCGGCAGGGTGGAGGCAGGCCGGGCCCTCTCCTCAGGCCTGCGGCCGGGCCGGGCCCGCGGAGGGCGGGCGTCGCGTTGGCCGTACCCGGGTGCCAGCGCAGCGCCAGGCGGCGGTAGGCCCGCTTCAGCTCCTCCTCGGCGGCGTCGCGCTTCACCCCCAGCACCTCGTAGTGACACTTCATGGCGGCGGGACGGTGGCTCCGCCTGGAGAAAAACGCCGGCCGGCCGGCGGCCCGGTCAAGGCAGCGGTGGGAGGCGGGGCCGGCGGCGCAGCCATGAGGCGCCCGGGCCGCCCCCGCCCCGCGCCGGGAGGAGCCAGGCGGGTGGCGGGCGGGGCAGGCCCGGCCCGGGGAAGGAGGGCGGCGGGAGGCCGCTGCTCTGCCCCGCAGGCCCGAGCCCGCCTTGGCTGCGGCGCTGGCGACAACGGGATCAGGAATAGCATGGCCGGCAGGAGCAGGGCAGTGGTGGTGCCTCTGTACCGGGCACTGGTGAGGCCTCACCTGGAGTACTGTGTTCTCTGGGCCCCTCACTTCAAGAAGGGCATGGACCTGCTGGAGCGTGTCCAGAGGAGAGCCAGCAAGCTGGTGAGGGGTCTGAAGAACAAGTCCTATGAGGAGAGGCTGAGGGAACTGGGCATGTTTAGTTTGGAGACCTCATTGCCCTCTACAGCTACCTGAAAGGAGGGTGTAGAGAGGTGGGGGTTGGCCTCTTCTCCCAAGGGAATAATGACAGGACCAGAGGAAATGGTCTGAAGTTGCAGCAGGGGAGGTTTAGATTAGATATTAGGAAGAATTACTCTACTGAGAGAGTGGTCAATCACTGGAACAGCCTGCCCAGGGAGGTGGTGGAGTCGCCATCCCTGGAGGGATTTAAGAAATGTGTAGACATGGCACTTCAGGGCATGCTCTGGTGCCTGAGATTGTTGGGTTGTGTCTGTGTGTGGTATGTTTTTTGATGTTTTTTGTTTGTTTGTTGTTTTGTGGTTGGACTTGATCTCAGAGGTCCCTTCCAACCATGAATATTCTGTGATTCTGTGATCCAAGGTTTTGGGTTGATGGCAAGCTGACTATGAGTCAACAGCGTGCCCTTGTTGCCCAAAGGCCACCGTGTCATGGGGAGCACCCAGCACAGCAGAGCTGTCTGGGTGACTGTCCCATGCTGGACTGGCCCCACCTTGAGTTGCATGTGTGGTTTTGGGTGCCCCAATGTAAGGACATAAAACTATTTGAGTGTGTCCAGAGAAATGTGAGCACAGTGGTTAAAGGCCTCGAGGGCAAGACTTATGAGGAGCAGCTGAGGCCAGTTGGTTTGTTCAGCTTGGAGGAGGCCAAGGGGTACCCTCATGGCAATCTGCACCCTCCTCCACAGGGAACAGCAGAGTGGGAGGTGCTGATCTCTCTCTGGGGAGCTGTGACAGGACATAAGGAAATGGAATGGAGCTGTGGCGGGGAAAGTTTGGGTTGGACATGAGGAGGTTATAAAGTGAAAGGGTGGCTGGTCCCTGGAACAGCCTCCCTGGGGAAGCGATCATGGCCCTAAGCCTTCCAGAGTTCAAGGAGCATCTGGACAATGCTCTTTTAAGCGATATGGTTTAGGTTCAGGTGGTCCTGCAAGGAGCAGGGAGCTGGACTTGATGATCATCACAGGTCCCTTTCAACTCAGGATACTCTGTGATTCTACATATTCGACTACATGAATGGAGCAGATGCTTCTTTTCACCAGTGCTTCTTTCCAACCAGATAGCACAAAGGCTACCTTGTTACAGAGGTAACACTGGATTTCTCTTGCCCTACCAGCTGAGATAAAATTTAATACTTAACAGATCAGTGTTCTCTTGTGCCAACGGTTCAGCAACAAGGCGCCAACCAGCAGAGGAACCGAACAGGAACAGGGCACAAGGAAGACCTTGAAACACAGGGAGGCTGAGGGAATGAACAGGGAAATGGGTCTGGAGTCAGTGGAAGAACGAAGTTAGCTACATTTCAGGAGCAGGGTTAGGTACAGGAGCTACCACAGGCAAAAGCAGCAGCTTTTTTACTATAAATAAAAAACAACAATTAAGGGGCCATAACCCTTTGCATTCCCCAGGAAGGAAAAAATCACCACTCCCCAGAAGAGAATACCTAGAAAAATAAAAGTTTTTAAAGGATTTTCTACCGCTGTTAGACTTTTGAATTCCAGTTAATCATGAGCACCAATGACTATTCAGTTATTTGTATTCCTTGTACATGTTACAGTGAGTTGTCTCCCAGAGGTATTCAAGTATAAAAGACCAATTCTCGAAAGCAGAAATATTTAGTATCTTATCCACCCTTCCTGCTGCCATGTTGTTCTTCAGAACCTAGAATCATCTCAAAGACAGGAACACAATAAAAGAGTGCAAACTCAATTGCAATAAAGAAAATGGTATTTTGTTTACTTAAAAATGCAGTCCAGTTAGTTTTGCTTGTAAAAACAAGTATATACAATATGATGTGAACATAGCTATGAAATATAGCTAGGTATGCCTATACCAGACTAACATGATTTTGGAGTCTGCTTAGCTTCTTCACTTGTAACATTTACGCTGATGCTTCAGTTCTGAAAAGCTTTTTTTGCTTCTTCCTCTGAATTTTGCGTGGCTTCTTTTTATCTTTAACAATTGGCTTTGATTCTGGTTTCACGAGCTGTATTTCCACTGGCTTTTCTTCAGCTGGAGTTTCAAAGACTACTTCAGTGGGATCTTCTCCAATAAGCACCTTACTCCCTTTTTTCTTAATCTTTTGGACTTCTTTCACTTGCTGTTTCTCTCTAAACTTAGCCGCCACTGACAATCTTATTAGCCGCCGATGCTGTAAGAATAAGAATTTAAATTACATCAGATTTCAAATAAGCATGCTGGAAGAAATCAGGTATTAAAACTTCTCTGCTTAATCTTCAGTGTAATGCCATGTTTTCAGGGACATGATTTTTGCATTCTCTCCATTTTTACACAATAGCTCTGTCCTCCAATCATGATCAATTAGGGCACTCTTTTCTACAAAGGGTCCCAAGGAGAACAAGAGGGAATGGATTCAAGCTGCAACAGGGTAGGTTTAGACTGGACATTAGGAAAAAATTCTTCACAGAAAGAGTGGTCAGACACTGGAACAGGCTCCCCAGGGAGGTGGTTGAGTCACCATCCTTGGATGAGTTTAAGAGCCGTTTAGATGTGGTGTTGGGGGATATGGTGTAGGGGAGAACTTTGTAGAGTAGGGTAGATGGTTGGACTCGATGATCCCAAGGGTCTTTTCCAACCTAAATGATACCATGGGTCTCCTGCGCAGGCAACTTGCAAGACTAATTTTCAAATGAATTGCTAAATGGAAGAGAAGACAAAGACAAAGCTGCTTACCATATTCGGGGACCGGTAATGGGGATTTTCATACAGAGTTGCTCCTCCAAAGCTACCTTGGAAGATTTTTATGAGGTTGAGGACAAAACGAGGCCCAATTTCTACTAGAGATGCATCTTCTTCTATTATCTGCAATAAAAAGAATACTCTCTCGTGGACTGAATCAAAGTAAATGACCCTGCAGACACCTTGCATACAGTGATACGCGACTGAATTTAAATCTGAGATACGATGCCACCGCAGCTGATCAGCCACACTTGTACAGACACAGTTCTATATATAACACAGTTATTTTGCATTCAAGCAAGCGTGTAGAGGGGTAACAGGTATCTGTGAATCCCTCCTTCAGAAAGCAAGCTCCAACACAGTGCGGGCCAAAGCACCAAGTAAGGTTAAAAGATGGGTTAAGCTTAGGCTCTGGCTACTACTTCCTGCTACCAAGACAACCATCACAGAATCACAACTAACAGAGCGTTAGTTGAAGGACACAGAACTTAAACCAGCTCTCTTCAGAGACATGGGAAAAGGGACGTCATTTTAAGTCAAGGCCTTTTTGGCTCCTCACACCATCCCACCAGCAAGCAGGCTGGGACTGGGGGGGCACAGCTGGGACAACTGACCCCAACTGACTAAAGGGATGTTCCATACCACGTGACATCATGCTCAGCATATGAAGCTATGGGAAGAAGAAGGAAGGGGACGTTTGGAGTGGTGGCGTTTGTCTTCCCAAGCCACCATTATGGGTGATGGAGCCCTGCTCTCCTGGGGATGGCTGAACACCTGCCTGCCGATGAGGAGCAGTAAATGAATTCCTTGGTTTGCTTTGCTTGTGTGCGTGGCTTTTGCTCTACCTACTAAACTGTCTTCCTCACAACCCACGAGTTTTCCCACTTTTCTGATTCTCTCCTCAATGCCAACCAGGGGGAGTGAGCAAGCAGTTCCATGGTCCTCTCTGCCGACTGGGGTTAAACCACAGCAGTCCTGGCCCATCACTGAAATTACTTCATTCAAGCACTAGCTTTTGGCATATTCTAATAATAACAATTCTTCTCACTTTGTTGTAATTAATGGATTTGATACAAAATTCACTCTGCAGAGCTCCTTTTGAAGAGCTAGAAGAAACCACTAACCTGGTAATTCCGAAACCAGATCCTCTCATCTGTAATGGTGAAGGTGAAAACGTGATCTACAAAAGGCTGGCTTTTGGGGTGATACTGTGGTGTACTAAATATCTGGAAAAAAAAGACAGTATTTCTAAATACCTGTAGTTGTAAGATACCAAACACAAATGGTACACTTTTATTTCATGCTAATTTACTAAAATCCCAATCCCAGGTTACATTTCAGGACTCAAAACCTAAAACCAAATGTCTTGCTGATTTTTAAGCACATGACCCTAATATTTTGAAGACATTTTATCACGTACAGAAGCGCAAAACTACTACTTTAAAAAAACTCTGAGATTTTTCAATATGTTGCCAAAAAACATTTCCAATGAGCAAGAAAAACTAGACAGCAGAACTACAGACTGACCTGAATAAACAATTCTTTTAGCAGGGCATAGTGTGGCTCCTTGTCGAATGTCTGCAAAGGAAAAAATGTAATGTTACATACAAAGCTAAATGCAGTAGTCATGTAAAGAAAACAAAAGCATAATCAATGAAATAAAACTTATACTTACTGGATCAAAAGACAAAAGGGGCCGTGAGCCCCTCAGGCAGTTTCCCGTCATCTTCAATTCAGCCAGTGTGTGAACTACAGTGATTTTTTTAAAAAGATCATTTTACTACTTACAGAAAACCATACAGACAAGAAAGCCTAAGTCCAAACAGAATAATGTCAACCAACTTACCATTCTGCACTAAGAATTTAGCTGATGGTCCCTGTGGTGTATTTGAAAGCCTGCAGAGGACAGGTAGT